TGAACATATTATGTGCATGTATCTGTTAGGATAATCTCCTACCGGCCCCGCCTCTAGTTTCCTTGTATAGATGAGGCTGAGGGCTGCCCTTGTACTTATATACGTGCACCGTGCACCCGATCAATACATCAAGAGTTGCATTGCCTTCAACAGGACTGACCTTGGGTGCCGCCGGTCGACGGGCGCCTTAGCACTTCCTTAATTAATTCCTGCAAGCCTCCTATTCAACCCCATCTAGTCAGTTCCTCGGATCCATTCAACGGTAATTAAGAAAAAAAATAGAGTAAACAAATATTTAGAGTATTCCGTTTGGTCGTTCTTCCAAAGCCTTGATAATTAACAAGTCTTCGTCTCGATGAAGGCGCGCGTAAGATCAATGAATACCTAAATTATTATAGTACTCACTTTTATATTGCACCTTCAGTTAAATAGCCGGTTCTGAACATTTCCAAACCAGCAAGTACCAACTGAACTCTACTCGCAGAAAGGGCGTTCACTCGTAGAGAGAGAGAGAGAGAGGATGAGCTCAGAGAAAGAGAGAGAGAGAGGATAGGCTCCGCGGCGAATGCTGCGGAAGCAATCCTGCTCACCTTGAAGAGCCTCTTCAAGCAAGACAATGTTACTGGCGTGGCCAGTGTGGAGCTGTGGGTGCTGTTGACGACGGTGCTACTGGTGTGGAGGTTCGTCCTCGACTTCTCCGGGCCATGGTTTGGGAAGCCGAGCAGGATGGTTGCTGTGGTCACCTTGGAGATACTCAACCAAAACTTGGTGATCTACACCATGGGACTGATGCAACTATCGGGCGTGAAGGTGAACGACTACTTCCAGGTGTGGGCGGTTCTGCTTGTCACCCTGCAGTACAGCGTCAAGGTCGGGCGGCCATACACCCGGTCCAAGCAGGTCCCAATGCTGGATCTGATGTCCTCCTTCTGGTCCGCCAATCTCCTCCGGGTGCAGACCTTCAACCTCCTCCGGTTCCCCCTCTGGTTGATCTGGTCCCTGAATGCGGTTCGCATCATTGTGCTCTTCCTCACCACCGGCAAAGGGGAGACTAACAACCAAGAGAGCATGCGGCTGGTGAGTGACTACATGAGCTATGAGGGCGATCTATCTGCTGGCGGTGACCCGCAGGTATCAGAATCAGACATGAGGGGGTGCAAGTACCTGGTGCATGGGGAGCACCGGGTGTTGAAGGAGATACAAGAAGGCCCGCGAGGGGGAACAAGAACACTGTTTTCTTGCTTCAGAAGGAAGAGGGAAATACGCGGGTCTGACAGGAGCTACAAGATTCGGCTGGATCCAGATGGAGTCCACAAGAATCAGCTCGTCACAGTGGACAAGATATGGCACGGCAGCAGCAACGGCAGGTTGTTGGGAGACGCAGAAGACCCTAACAAACAGCGCAAGGACCTGTGCCTCTCCTTCTCGCTGTACAAGCTGCTGCGCCGTCAGTTCTATGATCTCCCAGTGCATGAGCTGAAGAGGCCGCAGGGGAAGGAGAAGATCCGCAAGCTCGTCTTCGACTACATCCTCAACGACTGCGAGAGGGCGTTCCGCATCGTAGGGGTGGAGCTGTCCTTCCTCCAAGACCTGTTCTACAGCAAGCACGCCGCCGTGTTTGCCGGCGGACTAATGGTGCCGCTCCGGAGCCTGCTGCTGTCGCTGTCTTTGGCCACGGCGACAGGGTACATCGCGTATCCTGCCCGGCGCATACCCGAGCGGATGGATCCAGCGGACCGGAACAGGATCACACACGGCGTGTTCATCACACGCCTCATGGTCGGCATCATCGTTCTCAAGGAGCTCCTGGAAATTGTTCTCTATGTGCTGTCACGGTGGGCCAAGGTTCTGGTGCTGTGCAAGTACCTCCAGCATCGGTGCCTGCGGCGTCCGGTGGTGGAGATGGCGATGAGATTCATGCTCTTTTTCGGTAGCAGAGCCAAATGGAGTCAGACCATCAGGCAGCAGAACCTTCTTGTTGGTGCTACAACCAGTGTTCTGAGGCCAACAGGTGTGCTGCCTCCGCTTACATGGACGCTGGTGCTCCGTCGAGGGGTAGTTACCGGAAAAACCGCCCTCAAGGATTACACCAAGAATGCGATATTAGAATCGCTCAAGAAGTTGGAGAAGTCGGCTCAAAAAAAGAAGTTGGAGAACTCAGCTCAAAAAAAGAAGTTGGAGAACTTGAACAAGAAGGAAGGGCTAGCGATGGATAACTACTTCTCAAATGCCTTCAAATCAGACAAGAGGGTGGTGAAGTGGCCAAGAAACCTCAAGGTAGACACCCACATCATACTGGTCTGGCACATCGCCACCAGCCTCTGCGAGATCTACTTCCACAACAAAGTCCAGAACCTCAGGGCTGTGCGGCGACCGCAGCCTTTCGTGCAGGATCCAAATTGGATTCGCAACGAACGGTTTGAGCAGTACGCGACTGCAGCCACCTTATCCAACTATTGTGCGTATCTGGTCAGGAAGGCACTGGTGCCGGACAATCCCATTGTCGCCGGAATGGTCCTTGATGAGGTAATCAAAGAAATTAACCACCTTACTTCCAAGTTCAGTATCAAGCCTCGACTCATGCAACTGCAAGACGTGTACAAGAGCCTTATGGAGACAGTCGACAAACCATGCACGAACCATGATCACTATCAGATCTTTGGCTGGGGCGATGACGTGGAAGCAGTAACACGAGAGGGAATCGGTCGAGTGAGACAAAAACAACATGAACAAGGCCTCCACATTGGGTGCTCCTTAACAAGGATGGGTGCAGAGCTTGGGATGCACCTAAGAGAGGTGTATAGAGGCGACGCAGCAGGCCTTTGGAGGGACCTGGCCAACTTCTGGACGGGGTTCCTCCTCCACCTGGCCATGAACACGAGCGCAGCCACGCACGGGAAGCACCTCGCCGGCGACAGTGAGCTCATCACACACCTGTGGGCGCTGCTCTCACACGCCGGCTTCCACGGGAACGCCAACGACGGCGAGGAGGGGCAAGACAACGAGAACGCCCCTGATCTCGACCTGGCAGTACAAAATGCATGAAAAGTTCTTGCTTGACTCCTTGCACCGCGCGCGGCACCGGCATCCTTCTCGTATTCTTTTTTGTGCTTTTTGGTATTTGTTCGTACTGCTATTTGTCTTTCACTTTCACTTTTGGTAATTGTTAGTTTCAGTTCAGTTTAAGTTCATTTGACTAGGGCTGTGTAGAAACACTGTATTTATCATTTGTCAGATTAGAACCATCTTTGTCATTCTTAGTTAATTTTCTGTTCTTTTTTTAGTAATTAGTTTATCCATTCCACAGATTCCAAGTCCATACTCCACTGTCAGTGTTTGTTCAGTTTGTAGTTACAAGAATTTCTTGTTGCAGCCTTTTATTTTTAGTGTCTGGCACACTTTTTTGGTGTGTACCATTTGGCATCCAGAAAACACACAAAAAGGCAGTTGATATCCTGGACATCCCGAAGCACGGGCTTGCTGGACTAAGGTTGGGGTGAGGGAGCTTCAGTACTGCTGTGTACGACACTTCCCGTGGCGGTCACATCTTCTTCAAGGGATGGAAGGAGATGTGGCCACCACAGGAAGTGTCGTACATAGCAGTTCATCAATTATTTTTCATATATTTTTCTATCTTGGGGATTTTGCAGATCAGCTGGCACATTGCAAAGATAGAGATGGTTGCTCACTGAGGTTCCTCCTTAACTCAGTTTCATTTATTTCTCATTGATCATTTTGTCAATAACTCAATATGTAGTCATCTTTAGTCATATTTCAAACCCTCATTCGGTTATTTTAATTATCTCGGTCCTCATTTTATTATTTAGTCATTTCTCGTTATCTTGCACTTTTCAGTTTTAAATATTTGTTCATTGTTCATTGAAATCATTATTTATCAGTATTCAATCCACATTTTGATGTCTTTCTCAGTTTTTCATCCTTATTCGTTCAAATTATTTATTCAGTTTTATCTTGGTCTATGCAGTTATCATGTTGTTTCTATGCCGTAATCTGTGTTTGGTTTTTTCTTCATTTCCTTCAGTTTAGGGACCTTAACACCCTTTTGTTTAAGTAATTTGTTATCATTTCTCAGTCTGTTCAGTGCCTTTGTGTTTTTTTAATCTACATAGAAATCAGCGTTGGGACTTTTCTTTACTTTCAGTTCGTGAGGTTTCATTTGTTCATTTTTTCAGTCACTCTGCAATGCAGTTTCCAAAATCTTTGGTTCTCATTTCAGTAATGTTTCATTTAGTTGATCAGTGTGTGTTCTCTCTTTAGTGTCAATATGTCAGTTTTAGTAATTGTTCAGATCGTCGGTCGCATCTTCTGTTGATCTATATTTAGTTAAAATTTTGTAGCATGTTCACTAGTATCAGTCAGTGTTCATATAGTTGCATCAGTCAATATTCAGAGAGCATGCATCATTGTTCTGTTTTTCACTCTTGAGTTTTGAGTCACTGTTCATTCATTCGGATGATATTATTACCAGTATCTTCAGTTTTTTTTGTAATAGGTTAAAATTCGGCAGCTCTCGTTAGTCAATGTCCAAGTAGTTAGCTCAAGAGTAAATGTTCAGTCCCTCAGGTTTCATTTGCCCATGTTTTCAGTCACTTGTCAACACACCATTGGACAGAAAATTTAACGTAGACTGAAATGAAAATCAGGCGACTGATCGTTAGACAGTCCCTTATCTTTTTATACGCGTGTCTACTTCAGACTGAAAATCCAGATCAGTTCATTCAATAAGGGTGTCTTTCTCTTCGCAAAAAAAAAATTAAGGGTGTCTTTCGTTAAGTACCATTCCAAAAGTCGGCATTTCTTTCTCTGATAGCACTGCTCTGTTTCTACCTACGTAGTACTTACTGTTGTACTAGAAAAAGTGAAGTGCGGAATTTGGAAAAGAGAAAATAGACTTATTGTCGCAAACTTGCAAATACTCCTTGAGCAGCGGCACGCTAGGGTTGGGCGGGTCGCCCTGGGCGAGGGCAGCACGAGTTTTTTGTTGTTCCAAAATACTTGCTCGGGCTCGATGGTGGTGGCGCTTGGCGTCATCACCCTCTTCGGTGCGTGGTTAAGGAGCCTCTGCCCCTTTCGGTTGCAGTTGGCCAGCGGCCTTTGGTTTGCCTTGTCCCTAGCATGTAGCATCCTCAATTCTAACATGGGTTGTCACCAATGATCTTCTATCTTGTACACGCGTCCTCATGGTCGGTCCTTACTATCTTCTGGGAGGAGCGGCGCTCAATTGCCCGGATCGAGGATGTCTCAGTGACGAGCCGACAGTCGAGGTAAAACCCGTCAGATCTCTGGTACCGAAAAAGGCTTTCGCCCCGCTTTATATTATAAAGCCAACCGCCCAAAACAAACATCCAACAAGGTCCAACACAGTACAAACTCACGCACACACGGAAGTCCACAAGAACACAAAGCAGTCGGAAGGGTCAATGTTGAGGGCAC